ATATATAGTATAACTTGCTAAAATTAATCTATATTATACTTAAGATACTGTAACTTAGATATTTTAACTATGACTTTTATATATTAAGTTACTGCAGTTTAAAAATAAGACTCTTTTAGAGGTATTAAACTATAAATTATCTTATTTTTATTAATATTATTCTTATTATTATATAATTTAAGATAATATTTTATATGGTTAAGTTATGATTATAAGTATAAAAAACTTTCTCCCAAATTTTGAATATAAGCAAATAAAATTTCATCTTTGTTGGTCTCAAATTAATATAAATTTAAATTAATTTTATTATATTTAATGTTATTATATATCTCTAAAATAATTTTTATTTAATTGCGATTGTAGTTTTAATATTCTTTTTTATTTTTTATATTAAATTTCAAGGAAGGGTAATTTAGAAAAGATTCATATTTTTAATGGGGTTAATAAAAATTAAATGATGTAAACTAACTTTCTTAGTTACCGTGAAACAATTTTTTTTTTTTGCTTATATTTAGAACCAAAGAGTATATTTTATGTGAAAGAAAATTAGACTTAATTGTATTTTTTAATTTTCCAATATTACAATTATGCAATTTTGATCTTTAAGATTTTAATTGAATAATTTTAGTCTTATGTGAGTAGTCCTTTTTAAGATGTTCATCCATTTTTTAGGATCAACAACTGACCCACAAACTAACATAATATTTTTTAGTGTGTTTTGTCCTCACTTATATGCTTTCTAGGAAACTTCCCGAAATGTTACTCATTCATAAATTATTTCAATCCAAGCACGCTTAACTATGTAGTTCTTTTGTAATAAGTTATCGAAAAGTTGATACATCTTGTCGGTATAGGTAATACAAATTAATTCTTTTAAATCATCCTCAATCATGCAATCTCACACAAGTATAGTCTTTAGATTCTTCTCATTTTGGTGTGTCTAGGATGTTACAAGCCCACCAACTTTTGCTTGGTTCATTCTCGAACCACATCATATTAGGAGAAAGAACCTGCTCTCATCATTTGTAACAACCATCAAATTTAACATCTTAGTGACTTCACTCCACGACATTTCACACAACTCCTTATTGGTCAAAACCTTTCACTAGTTAGAACCCTTCGCGGATATGTAGCCTTTTTTGAGATGTTTGTCTGCTTTTTAGAATCAACAACTGACCCCACAAATTAACACAAGATTTTTTAGCGCGTTTTGTCCTCACTCATACACTCTCTAGGAAACTTCTCAAAAGTTAACACATCCCTAAATTGCTCCAAACCAAGTACACTTAACTATGAAATTCTTTTGTGATAAGCTACGTACTGAAAGGTAGATGCATCTTGTTATTATAAGTGGTACAAATTAATTCTTTTAAGTTATAACTCAATCATACAATCTCACACAAGTACAGTCTTTAGATCCCTTTCATTCTAATGTGACTAGGATGTTACACCTCTAACTTTGTTTCTCACTTTGTTCTCTTGTTTAACTGATGGTGATTTTCTCTCTTCTCATCCCTTAAATAGGCCTAGAAAATAAATAGAGTAATTAAGCATGAAAGAGACCAACTTGCTCAGTCCTTTCCAAATGGCGCCTAAGCGAATTTTTGAATTCTTTAGGATGAAGAAAGTTCCATCAACTAAGCCAATTCCAATTCGCTAAGCCTTTGAGGATCAAAATTTTCACCCCTCTCTAAACCAAATTCACTCAACCATTTTCAAACGACTGAGCATATTCTGCTCTGCAACCAACCTTGCTCTCTACCTTTAATTCGCTAAGCCCTTGTAAATCGACTGAGCAAATTTGAGGGGTTTTGAGGTCTTGGAATTTCATTAAATCTACATGAAAAATAAGAGTTCATAAGTCAAAAATTCCATCGACTCTTCATAAACTATCCCATTTATGCATCCTTTTAATTCCTTGAATATTTAAGGGGTTAAAACACATATTTCTTTTAAACCTAACTAGATAAGTGTCAAAATAGTCATGATTTCTAAGTAAAATGGACACTAATCAACTATGAACATAAATAACCAAATAACTAATGTTAGGGTTTGAGTCATTGTGATTGGGCACCATACATAGAGATTACCAAATTACATTGTCTTTCCCGCCACTCAACCAAAGAGTGTCAAACTCTTATTCACATGATTAAGAAATTCAACTATATATCATCTGTACTGGACTTTGTTGTTAGATATTGCATATCACTATTATCACTCGGAAAAAGAAGCATCATATTAAATTTTAATAGGCTAATCTACTTAATAATTTCCAATATTTTAGTATATATATTTATTGTAATACTAATGTGGAGAAGAGAAAGACACTAGAGGGGAAGTTGATAAGTATCCACCAAAAATTTAATACCTTTTCAAAATAGTAAATTAATAATAAAAGCCTTAAAGAGTGCAAACAAAGAACACAATGTTTTTATACTAGTTCATCTCAACCACCGAGACTACATCAGTTCTTGATCAACTTGATCAAGTTTCACTATCTTTTACAAAGATACAAGTATTCTTTCATAAGTCTCTTCTAGCTCAACCTAAGTATTAATTATTTGATTTACCTCTTCAAGCAAACTACCTAAGTATTCTTTAAATAAAAAAGTCTCTACAAGCTTCAATACTAAGTATTCTTTTCAATAATAAAGTCTCTCCAAATTTCAAGCTAAAACATAGTTAAAGTTGGGTAAAAATAACAATTGATTCATCTTACTCTCAAGACATGATACAATTTTTAAGTACAAGAATTTATCTAGAAAGAAAAAACAAATAATAGATGAAGTTGTTCTATCTTATTTTTGAGTTCTTCAAGCTTCTTTATAAAGGTGTTTAATGAAGATGAGTGTTGCAAATTCTAGAGTTTCACTCGTTAACTTGCTTTGTCTTTCTTAGTTTTCCTTCCTTGTAGAGTAAGATGTTTGTTAGTGTATTAAATGTGTTTCACCAAATAATCACTTCTTATCTTATCAAAGAGGTTACTTATTATCACTTTTTTAGTACAAAAAAGGAGAAACTATTTCATGTGTTAGTCATAAATGATTTTTTAGGTGACTTCACACGCTTCAAGATATATCCTTGTTCTTTCTCTAATGAAAAACAAGTCATCATTCCTTTATCAAATCCAAATACTAGAGAAGCTTTTACTAATCTGATATGTTAAGGAATCTCATAGAAACAGATGGCATGGTCATCAGACATAATAAATGAAATATTTAATGTATTCATCTTAAATAAACGAAATATCCCATCTGAAATAACATATCATCATAAAATGTTGTCTTATGCAATTGTCTTAATTGTGTGGTCTTAAAAACAGATCTTTATAAAAAAATATTAGAATTTGTTAGCATTAAAACATATATTCCTAACGGATATATGATTGTTCTTTGATCTAACATCTAAATATTTAAAAAGTTTTAAACATAATTTTCATCCTTATAATTTACTTTTTTTCACTTTTGGTCCTTGTAAAATTTTTTGTAGTTGTTTCATCTCTAACCTTTTATAACGTTTCAAAAGTAGTTTTTACCGTCAATTATCGTTAAAAAAATCCTACGTGAGAACAAAATATATATTATATTCAACATATTTAATTTCATCATTATCACATAAATAAATTGATTTTAATTTTTTAGACAAAATTTCAAAATGCACTTCTCAAACCCTCACCTTCACCCTCGACCTCATGATCGCACTTCCCCACTTTGAACCAAATTTGAAACCGCAAACGCTAAACCTCCCAATCCAA